GTGTGTGTGTGTGTGTGTGTGTGTGTGTGTTGATGAAACCATGTAGGAACATGGGATTCTATTCAGGGATAAAAAAGGCAAATCCTGATCAGGTTTATCAGACAGTTTCAGCACAAAGACTCCAGAAAACATCAGAATTACGTCTTCTGAAGGGAAAAYTTATTCCACACTCGGGGCTTAAATCTGTAACGTGTTCTGTTGCCGCTCCTCTAAAATTATTATCACTAGAAGATAAGAACGATCTGAGGCGAAACATGTTTTAGGAGGATGAGAAAAAAAAGTGAGATGAAAATCTAAACCTCTAAAGTCCCTCAGAAATTGTTGCTTTCCAGTTTGATTTAAAGGGATTCTCCACGGCTTTAGTTCTTCAGATAAACAAGCATTAACTGTAAAATAGAGTTTTGACATCAAAGCATGCTGTCTTTTTCATTCATACAAGATATTGACTGGCTCCTGGCTTGATGATGAATTGATAAAAAAACAAATGATAAAGGAGGAGAGGAGGGTTGAGAAAGGCAAAAAGAGGATACAGGTTGCTGTAGTCATTAAAGGGATGAGAAAGGTTAAAATCAAAACTTAGAAGTTCTTTAATCACATGCCAGAGTTTTAAACTAGGCTCACCCTATGATGAGAACAGCTGTTTTTCTTTAATGGAGCAGGAGACATTTTGCTAACAAATAAACACTGAAACAAKCAAAACCATTATCACTGATGAGCCATAAAAACCCAATAAAAATTTTGAAAAGCAGAAAAAGTGTGAAAATGAATGCCTAGAAATCTTGATTTACAATATCCTTCAATGCAACCCAATAAACTAACAATTAAACCCACATTTCATAGAAACAAAGGTCAGTCTTTATGCCCAATGTGGGAATATAATATTGCATCATATCCATTGTAGACTTGTGAATTAAACTGTATGAAAATCTTATTATGACAGACTTTGTGATAGAGAAACATTGTATCACCCAAACAAATCCATGTTATTTCATGTTATGATAAAGCTGCTGATTTACACCCCTAATTTAAAACAAAGTTACAAGCATAAAGAGCTTTGTCTTTTTTTAAAATAAATCTAAAGACCTGCAACACAAACAGATGCAGGATGGAAAATAATTAAGCTATGAGCTACTGACGGGTGCTGGTTTAGTGTTTTGATTCTCTCCAGTGATTTTTACGTCTTCTGCATTCAGATGTTAACTGGCATACGCAGCAGAAGGTTTTGGCTCAATTCGTGCCATTTAATATATTCACACGTGATCCAGGAGCACTGGATATCCCCACCCCCCCAGTGAGGCAGCCAGCAGACAACGGCCAAGAATAAAATCTAAAACACAGATGAGGCTGATGGAAAAATGGATTCACTGAGATACAAACCAGTTTGTAACCAATTAAATGTTACACTATATCTTTCTTTTTAATCTAGCATAATAATATATTATCCTGGCA